ACAATGACTCAAGATGAAGATGAGAGCGTACGGGCATTTGGGATGCGTTTCCAGAAGATCTCCGACGTGCTGATGAAGAAGGGGAAGATCTCAGAGGTCGAGTGCTGTACTATCTTCATCGGACACTTGTCCAAAGGTAGGCAAAAGAGTATACTTAGAGATCTTCCGCGCGACAGGCTTGATTTCCCAGAAGTCCTAAAGCTCGCGATAAAGGCAGAGGCAGACAATTACAAGGACTTGGTGTGGAGAGGGATGAGGACACGTGACTTCTCTCTCTACAAGGAGTATGCCATAGATAGATGTCCTGATTTCAAGGACTATCCCTGGTCGGAGAAGAATGAGGCCGTGGCGGAGGAAGTGAAGGAGATACAGGACATGGTGAAGGGATTGACGAGACAGGTTACAGAGATTGTGACCACTACAGGGGCACGGCCTATCGGGACAAACCTGGAGGGCCCTATTCACTTCGCTGGGACCGTAGGAACAATGATTCCTGGAGGAGTGTCGAGGATAGAAATCCTCGGACGCTGACTGATTATCGTACGAGGGGGAGAGAGAGAGACGATGAGCCATGGCGACGTAGGGACGATGAGATAGACCGAGACCGCAGAGATCGCGAGCCGTTTGCGCGAGCAAGGACGCCGGATGATTACGATGAGATAGACCGAGACCGCAGAGATCGCGAGCCGTTTGCACGAGCAAGGAGGCTGGATGATTACCCGCGAAGCCCTCGCTATGAGGCCGATCGGGGTAGAGGCGACTCCCACGGCCGATGGGAGACAAATCAGGGCCGACGAGATGGATGTAGGGACGACAGATGCGAGAGGTCAAGTCGAGATGGCTACGGAGGAGGTAGGTATGAAAGAGGAGATCGGGACTGGGAACGATGAGATGGGTCGCGCGGACGGTTTGAGCGCGAGGGAGATGCGAGAGAGCAGCGCGATGAGTCGCGGGGGTGGTACAACCGAGGGGACCGACGCGATGAGACACGAGGGCGATATGACTCGGGGGACCGCCGGAATGATTCGCGAAGGCAGTATGAGCAAGGAGGATCAGGAGGAGACCGCCGCAACGATTCGTGCAGTCGGAATGAGAGAGGGCGATATGGCGTCTGATCAGAACCATATCCCTAGGTGCCTGACCCCAAGGCAGCCAGGAGTTCGATCTCGAGGAGCGCAGGCGACAGACCATCTACTCCCAGGAACTCATGCGTTATTTGTAGAGGAGAAGATCATATCAAGAGGGATTGCCCGGACCTCAAACGAGCAATAGATCAGGGGCTTGTCGTGCTTGACGACCGCAAGTACGTCAAGTGGGCAGATGGTCTGGGAGATGTATCGATGTTCCCTTCGATGAAGGAGAATGTCGAAGCAAGGAGAGTAAAGCCGAGTAAAGAAAATGAGTCGGTTAGGAGCCAGAGTATCAAGATAACCTTTGAGGGGGATATGGCGACCACACCCATAAGGGTGGCAGCCACCAAGTTGGCGAGAGAGTCTACATCGAAGAAGACTGACACGGATTACGTGATGACGGAGAAGGACGGGCAGCGGGTCGATGGAGAGGAGGTTATCCTTTCGCCGCGAAGGAGGGGAGTGAAGAAGTTCTTAATGAAGAGTTCGCTAGACACGATTGACACGGTCGAGCCACTGAGGCAGACCCTTCCGCAACCCATGCAGTGCTCTATTCTGGAGCACCTAGCGGCATCGAAGCCGGCTCGTGATGAGTTACAGATGATCACGCGAAAAACTCGCATACCTCTATCGGAGGAGGGTCAGGGGGCCCCTAAGGCGGAAGCTCCTACAGTAGCAGTAACGGGGGTGATTGCCAGAGCGGATCGCATGGCGACAGTCCTTCTCGTAGGAATGGAAGGTGTGCCTCCAGACAAGTTTTATATACTTGGTAGCGGGGCCGTGGAGACGATTATAAACGATGGAGCGATACTCGATGCTGTGATCGATAACGACAGTGAGACTGTCATCATAGACGAGGACCTGGCAGTACAGGTTGGACTGGGCCTCGATAGGTAATACCTATTCGAGATAGAGACGGCTGATGGGAGAAAGCAACAGATCACTGGGGTTTGTCACAAGGCAGCCATAGAGGTCCAAGGGGTACGAGTGACCCTGCCTGTCTTTGCAGTCAAGAACTGCAGCTCCGACCTTCTCTTGGGTCGAACGTGGCTGAGCCACGTGCATGCGATGACGATAGAGCGACCTCATGGGAGCCAAACATTGTCCATTAGGAAGCCAAACGGGACGCGGGTAATGATTGAGACAGTGGAGCCCCTGGATCAGAGGAACAGAGCGGCTCTTGCTGTGGGTGCGAGACCCAGTAAACAGATAAAGTCGTTACCTATCTCCGGCCGCGCGGTGCGATTTTGCGAGAAGAAATATGGACCACTGCTCACAGAAGAAGAAGGACGGATCGTGGAGGTGGAAGATTTAGGGAGTCGGCTAATAGTGGACGGCAACTCGTACCCAAAGGAAAAAGATGAGGAATTTGGCGGTGTGGTATCCGTGTCTTTTTTAAGGGCACGGCCCCCTATGGGGGGCTACCCAAGCGACACAAGCGAGTAGCTCAAAAAGTTAAGCCAGCGGCGGTTGGCCGCGAGCGATCTGCACTGGAAGGGATATCGGAAGAAGAGATCGCGAAAGAAATCAAAGAAAGAAAGA